AAGATAGACCTTTTTGACAGACGGACGGACGGACAGCGAAGTCTTAGTAATAGGGTTCCCGTTTTTACCCTTTGGGTACGAAACCCTAAAAAACGAGAATGAATAAGATACGACGAACCAAATACCATGTTAAAGATACAAAAATGTATTACTCTATGCGTTATTATTTGGCCATCGTTTGTTATATTCAGTTACAATTTAATATGTGTTTGGGTTCCTTTCACTGTGATCCAACTCACTTGTCTAGTGACAGGTTTGCCTCAAAATATGGATAGAAGATGTCTCGATCTCGTCTCGTCAAGTCTGGACGCACCTTAAAATCTCACTATGCTTGGTCTTCAGTCTTGATGCATTCTCCGACGGTGCTGAAATTGTCCCAACACAACGCGACGCCCAGTTCTTGTTTGGTTGCGATTAATCTCAGTTAATTTTTACTGTCCGAAGCAGCATTGCATCACACAAACTTCGTACTTGGGAAGTTTATAGTTTCAATAACTGCACAAGTAAAAACCAAAATACTTAAATAGTATGACATAGCCACGATTTCAATATGATTTCAGTAATCGGGGCATGAAATAAAGTAGCCGAAGTTCTGATTTCTACCGTACCGACCGCTGCTCTCGGAATTTTAAAAAAATCTGTTGAAATCAAAGATAATTAAACTCAAGAGATACAATTGTTTACCTTTCTCCTTCATCAGGCATTATTCTATCCTTATTTTCCCATCTCTCTTACACCGAAAACATTTGCCAGATTTACCTGTATATTGGTATTAGTATTAGTACCACAACCACAATTATTAAGTAATAAATAATTTCGTTATATTTTTGTAATATATCAACTACATTAATTTGCTAACGTCATTTTTTTCATTTAATGCTTAACTGCTTTACTATTTTAAATTTTATTTGAATAAAAATATCATGGTCGTGTTTCTTTTAATAATAAAAAGCAGTTTGGCAACGTTAGTTTTAGAAATATGCCGGCGTAGTACAACGCATTTCGAGGATGAATGGAAAATCCTAGATTCTCCTTTTGCGATGTTGCTATGCCGCCGATCAAGCTCCATATTCTTTATTTGCAGTATTATAGTATTTTTGCGTTATTTTGTGGACTTCTGTGGACATTAATTTGAAAATATGGTGCATTCATGTATTGTGTACAAGAGAGTGTATCATTAAAATCAAAATTTAACTTTTCACCGGTAAATACAAATAAGTAGGGTTAGGTATATTACTATATCCTATTCTTTGTAGATCAGAGGCGTACCTAGACATAAAAAGTAGCATATCTCTAAATTATATTTTTAGGTTTATTTTTTAAATCATATATTTATTATGTTTTTTAAATTATATATTTATTAATTAAATTATTTGTAGGAAAAAGGTACATGGTACATACTAATTACCAATAAGTTAATAATAATTTCTGTTTCCCTTTTAAGAAAAGGGAAACAGAAACCCCTAAGAAACCCACCCTTTTTTCTTATAAGAATAAATCTAATCTAGGTACCTACTTGGGTTTGACTAACCATTACCTACCTTTTGTGAAAATTTTATTGGGGTGTACCAAAGATGGAATTTTGCGGCCTTACTTTTTTTGTTGCCGTTACAATTTTATACGGCTTTCGTTTTAAATTTTGGTTGCTATAATGTAAATGGACATCTTTTGACATACATATAATTAATGTTCTTATTACATGAATTTTATGACTTTCTTACTTTTATTGTACTGAAATTCTTTGCACATGCACTTTTTATTATTTATAAACAATATGAATTTTCCTTTGCAAACAAGAGAAAAAAAACCTCGAAAAAAACTAAATATTTTTTTTAAACTAAGAACCGTTTACTAAACGATCACCATTTTATTTTATTTATGATTTTGTAAAATTATCGCTAGACTTTTCTGATGACTGTGTATTATAATATCAAATAATTTTGTTTAGATATACACATACCGTATGATCGACTAAAAACGTCGTCCAGTTGGCTTGGAAATGACGATCGATGGCATTTCCTATATAAATTTACATATAAAATGACAGCGATCTTCATTTCATAGCCATCGCTGACGCCGTTTTTATTCGATCATACGGTATAATATACATCTTATATTTTCAGTTCTCATTTACTGTGTTTGAAACATCCCTAAAATGAAAGTTAAGGTAAATAAATGTTGAATTTTCTTACTTCTTATTCCCTCATTAATGAACAATTGTGAACTAATAAAAATTATAAGGCACATTTTAAATTTTATTCAATGTTTTTTATTGTAATTGTAAAATTCATATATATAATAATAAAGTTTTTATCAAAAATATGTGAACTCTACAAATATTGGTTTTTGGTAAAATATTGTGTTATTAGGTTAAAATAACTATTTTATTTTGTTATTGCTAATTGAGGGAATCTCATTCGCCGGAGACGAACAAGTTTGGAACAAGATATTGAAACTGCATTTACTAATACACCTAAAATTTGATATTTTATTTAATAAAATAAAGTAAAAAACGCTTATTCATTTTTTAATCGTTATTCTTATGTGAAAAGCCATCTTATAATAAAAAATTATGCCGGTTTTTATTTTATTTCGCTATCCTCCCTCAACTTATTTTTTTTACAATGCGACAAATATGTATATATATATATATAAGTTTTACTATTTCATTTTAATTTATTAAACAATTATTTTAATTTCCTTAAAATACTGTCGGTCGATCAGCACGCCACTGGAAATTGACCTCATACGTCTAATCTTTGTACACAACTACATTGTTGCCATCGAGCAGATACCCCTATTTCCTTCTCTATCCATTCTCTCTTGCACTCGTTGATTTTCGCAAACCAATGTGTGATGAAGCTTTAGAGAGTTTTATGAATGGATCATTGTATCTCCCGAGTTTAAATATCTTTGGTTGAAATGCACCAATTCTATAGATAAGAAAAGAGAATGCTAATACTATTAATTCGTAAACCTAATTCGAAATAATACAAAAATTATATTTTTACTAAATTATTATCTATTATTTAATGCATATCTAGAATTCGATGTAGCCCCCCCCCACACGTATCAAGAAGATCTCAAATATCTATCTAAAATGAAGAGGTTTTTGACTCACCAGCCTCACTCCTTAAAGTGTAGCCGCAACTTTTTCAATACTGTCAAGGCGTATGACAATATCTTTCGGAAGAGCGAAAAACCATGAAGCGTGTTATTTTATTATAGTACTAGTTAAAGCCTGGTGCATCCGCCACGACATGACATCAGGAAAAAAATACTTATTTTTTTTAAATTAAATGAAAAACAAAAAATCCGGCGACGATAGTTTTTAGAAGAGCCCATTAACTATATTTTAGTAAAAAAAGCAACTTTCTAGAGCAAGTCGTTACTTCAGTAGAGACTAGAGACGACACAGATAAACATTAGCATTTTATATATGTAGATAGTAGTATTGTTGATTGAAACCATTGAGAAGATACGCAACCTAATGGGCGAATTCATGACAAGGCCGATTTGATTTCCCCTTACTTCTCAAGTGCTGTACGGTGGAGCCTCTACTCGTTCTGCGGCCAACGCATAAAACACTCATTTTCTCTAATTCGTCTAGCGAGGGCATATCGAAGACGGTGTGGAACTGAAAGCGACAGTGTTGCCATATTAAAATGTGTAATATCTGTAATACTTTGACGAAAATATTATTGGATGAAAAATCCGCGTTTATGTATTGAAAATGTATTCGTGTTAAACATAGAATAAACAACAAAAATCAAAATTCTTTTATAGGTACTGAATATTTCGTATGATCGAAAAAAGTCGTTTAGTTGTTATTTACTATAATATTTAATTTGAAATAACAGCAATCTTCATGTCCAAGCCAACTCTGACACCGTTCTTTGTTTAATCATATAATATTATATTAAATTGTTTAATGATAGAAAATCCGTATTATTAATAGTGATGGGAAAAACCGATTAATTTCAATAATCGAGTACTCGAGTTTCAAGCAATTCCAATATGGAACGATCGCTCGAGCGAAACATCGCTCGTATTTAAAAATACGTTTTTTCGCCTGTCGCTTGTTGCACTCGCAACGCCAAGCAGTAAGTTGCGTGCGCAGAGCACATATTCTTTCGGTGATGAATGGCAAGCGACGAGTAATTCGTTTGATTTAGTTTTTAATTTATTTCAAAGCATTGTCGATGTAGGTCGTAAAATTTTGTCACTCAGATACGCAACGAATAACGTCGTATACATTTTCTACCTGCAATGTATGTAGAAAATTCGCTCGGCTTTGTATCGAGTATGTCACATTAAAATCGGATTTCAATTTATTTAATTCTAGGATCGCTTGCGTTCGTCACTCGTAACTCCTCACTTGCATCACTACTTCATAATCAAGCGATGTCGGTTATTTTAATAATCGAGTACTCGGGCGAATTTTCGCTCGAGTTATCCCATCATTAATTATTAACCTACTGTACCCAAAATCCGTAAACCTATGGATTAATCCGGAGTTCTGGCAACACTGTCTCCGGCAACCACCCACTCTGTCGACTGACAGCAGAACTACGGTCAGTGTTGCCAGCCCTATTACGTTCGTAATAAATCTATTACGGAAAAAAAAATCTGTTACGTTGTTACGCCGCTCACCAATCTATTACGTTTTTACGATACAGCCAATCCAACTATTTAAAAATTCAACTATAATAAAAAAAGTTGATAAACTGGCTTTTAAAATGTTCATTCCACATTTTGTGTATAATAAATTAATTATTGCACGTGTATTGCACGTTGACCGAATTGGAGCCACTGCCGTCTGCTGTGAGTATTATAACCTTATATCTCTGGTATAACCTAACATTTTACAAGATAGAACCATAGACAAAGAAATAAAATTATTTGTTTCTTTGTCTATGGAAGGAACTGTGAAGGAAAGCGGGGAACCGGGGGGAACACCAAAAAAGGGGAATCACTAACCAGTAACCACTAACCACCAAAGTAAGTTTTGTTGTGAACTTAAATATTTTAGAAACTTTTATTATGATGAAGAAGTAAGTTACAGGATCAACTTTATATTTTATACCTACCTATCTACCTAATAGTTTACTTAACTTAATTATGTTTATATCAAATTAATTAAATTTGTAGGTGGTTATCTACATCTGGTGTTTCCAAAATAGATGCTGCAAAATCTGCAGATCCTCCCATTATTACTGCTTCTGTTCGTCCTACATCAGAACATAGTAGCTGTTCAGACTCTCGTATAGCAGGCCCTAGAAGCCAGCCAGATTCCCCTATACAAAACTCCAGCAGTCAGCCAGATTCTCCTGTACCAGGCCCTAGTGGGAGGCGGCATTCCAGTATTACAGACTCGGATTCTAGTAGTGATGAATCCACTGGCACAAAAGCTGTTTTAAAAAGGCGAAAAGTAACTACAACCAGTTATAAACAAAAATTTCGGGATAAATGGTGTGAAGATAAAAGATATGCAAATTGGTGCAAATCATCATCGGATGGAAGTTCAGCATTCTGTACTGTTTGTGACAAAAAAATAATTGGAGGAATTACTCATATAAAAAGGCACAGTATAACGTTACTACATAAAAAAAATAAAGAAAGCAGAAAAAACACCAAAAATTCAAGAGCTGCTGTCGATCAATCCTAACAAAGAATTACATTCCATTAAAGTGAAAGCAGCAGAGTTAAGATGTGTTATGTTTCTTCACGAACTAATTTACCCTTTTTATTGATGGACCACCTCCCAAAATTTATAGGATCAGTGTGTCCAGACTCAAATATTGCAGCAGACCTTAAAATATCTAGGACGAAAGCCACCCTAATTACTAAACATTGTTTTACATCCTCCGCTTTAGAGAATATTGCTTAAAAAGTTGACAAATCAGTTGCTTATAGTTTGATAATGGATGAAACCACTGATGTGGCAACACAAAAGTCATTAGTTGTAGTGATAAGATTTTATGATGAAAAGGTGACAGACCACTTTTTTGGTCTTTTAGAAATACATCAAGGTACGTCAAATGAAATTGATCAAACCACAATAAACCATTTGAAAAATAATAATATACCCCTAACAAAAATGATTGGACTAGCTGCTGACAATGCGGCAGTGATGATGGGAAACATTAAAGGTGTACAAGCACTTTTTAGACAGGATGTCCCATCATTATTTGTTATGGGATGTATTTGCCACACATTCCACCTGTGTGCGTCCGCAGCAGCAATTAAATTACCGAATACACTCGAAGAATTCGCTAGGGGAGTATATAATTTTTTCTCAAACAGTAGCAAACGCCTTCGTTTTTTGAATGAATGCCAAAGCTTTTTAGATGAGAAGCCCCATAAAATGCTGCATCCAAGTCAGACAAGGTGGCTGTCCTTACAGGTAATCTGATTCACAGTTATCTTAAATAACAATAATTAGATTATTTTTTAGGAGGTAGTAAATAGAATTTTACTGCACTGGAATTCCCTAAAACTAGTGTTTCAGGATGCAGTTTTAGCAGAAAATTTACAAAGTTTCCAAACAACTTTAAATAACCTCAATGATCCTATTTACAAGTTATACTTTTTATTTTTATCTTATGTTTTAGAAATTGTGAATCAGTTACCAAACTAGTTTAGAAAAAATAGACGTAAAAAATCCCAGAAATTTTTTACCAATTGAAGAAGTTTATTTTGGCGCTAGGGTCCAGGTAATGTTATCCTCAGAGGAAAATAATAATTCTGTCAACAATTTTAGACTAAGATGTCTTGATTTTTATATTGAGCTATGCTCCCAAATTCAGAAAAGATTTTCATTCAATGATCCAATTTTGAATTTCTGTAAAATATTTAATCCTTTGACTGTAGTAAGTGGAAATATAAACTCTATTGCTGCTAAGAGCATTCAGTATTTTCCACAATTAGTTACTGACATTGAAAAATTGGATTTTGAATGGAGACTGTCAGCAGATTCCGAAGAAGTACAGAGTATTAAAGATTTAGATTTTGAAGAATTTTGGGAAAAAATATTTCGAATGAAAAATAGTACGGATGAATTGTTATTCCCAAATTTGTCCATCTTAGTCAAAGGCATAATGTGTCTTCCTCATCCATCTGCAACTGCAGAGAGACAATTTTCCCAATATAATTTAATCAAAACCAAAGTTCGAAATCGTTTAAACATTGACACTTGTGATTCAATATTACACTCAAAAGATCTTTTGAAAGGTTATTCTTGCCACACTTGGGTACCAGACACCAATCTTTTGAAAAAAAAGGTTCAGTATAAAAATGATACTATGTAGTAATACTTATATATTTTACTAATTTAAGACTGTTGATGCTGTGAAAAAAAGTTATATTTTAACCTGATATTTATTTCGTTAGTTTTAAGTTGACTGATGAGACTGCTGATGCTGTGAAAAAACGGGTGTGTGCAAAGATTATTATTTGAAGTTGACCACATATTTCTTCTGTGGATTTCTCCTGAAACGTGATATTTTCTACTAAAAAAAATTGTAAATATGTATTTTTCATAATATCTATCTTTTGTAAGCTATTTATGTTGCTATAGCTATGACAATAGCAATTTTAGTTTCTTTAGCTGTAGTTTTTCAGTTTACGGCCTCTGTTACGGCCCTGTTCATTGGCATTAAAATTTCTAGTTGAATTTTCTTGTTTATTTGGTTTATATTGAAAGGAAATACATCACAATAATCTACAAGTTACTGGCAGTTTTCTTACGTCTTTGAAAGTAATGTAAAATGTTAATTGTTAGGTATTAATCAGCTATTTTTAACAAAAAAAAAGACCTAAGTCATTTTCTGACTGCAATTTTTTGAACTGGTTCGAAGAATTGCGCCGCCAGAAAACACCTCACCACTTTTAGCTGTAGCCATGCTGTAGCTATGGCATGGCTATGGCTACGTGGCCAACTCCACGAAAACATAACATTGAAAAGATTTATTACGAAACATCAGGATCTATTACGAAAATTTACGAAATATGGTACGAAAAAAAAATTGCGGCTGGCAACACTGACTACGGTATAGTATTCTTTATCCGCTGCGCTATAAACTAGTGTAAACGACTATCAGCGAGCAGCGGCAGTTCTCGGACAGGTTGACTAGCAGTGACGGTATCGCCAGCTACATCTCGAACAGGTCTTTTGCCACGAAATCGCCCAGAAGGTTGCGCGTCTTCTTATTTCTTCAATCAACGGTAGTATATTGTCAATAAGCGTGGCGATGTCTTTCGGGAATTGAGTAGCGCGCCATCTCTTAGACATTGGTGGAAAATCCCGAACGAGACAACGGAAACCAAAAGAATTCTAGAGAGTTCTAGAATAGAAGTTGTGAGAAGACTTTTTAGAATTATTTAAGAATTTTTGGGACACCCTGTATATAAAATAAATATACCGCAAATAAGAACAAACACCCGTTAAAAAAAAACGTTAAAAACAGCAATAATAAAATCATTAAAATAAGACAAGATAACATCTCTAAAATATTAATTAGGCATGTCAATGTCAATCTATTTATGTTTATTTAGAGATAAAAGGAAAGCATTATACTTGTTAAAATTTGCGAAACAATATGCAATTTTCCTAAACAATTATATCACGCAACAAATTCGAAACAAATTAAATTCATTATATTACTGAATGTATATAGCCATTTTCAATGAACTCGACCTTGAATTGGCGCAAAAACAAACCAAAACAATATTAAATGCATCATACATTCGCATAGGCAACTATAAAATCAAATGATGCTGAAACCTGACTGACTTTTATATAAAAACATTCAAGAAAGTCATCATTCCCAAAATCAGGCAAATTTACACGCCCAGAATTATGGCAATAATAGAATGTATCTAAAAATACCCGGCGAACATTGATAAATAAGTAGGGGACGTTGGCGTAAAGCAGAACGGAATTTAATGTAAAATACGACTTTCCGTATTATGGAATAGTTGGGTCGATTTTGCAAACATGATTTTTATTTCAGATGTTCGGAGTCACTAGAATGTTCACTCTATATAAAGAGCAGATCATTTACTCAATATAATGTGTCAGTACCATGCAGTTTTATGTAAAATATTAAATCAGGACTAAACTTGAAAATGATAAACAAATATTTTTCAGAAATAACAAATAATATTTATAGTATACTGAAGAGTATCTAGATATTCTATAGGATTATAGATTCTGACAGCTGTTGCTGTCAAATATTGTATATAGATATCACTGAACAAATATAAGTACAATTATTAGAAGTCCAAATAGTGATCCAGCCAAATTCAAATTCAAGCATATTTAGTTTAGGAAGTGTTTTTCAAGTAAGTAGTCTTCCTGGTAGTTTTGTTGAAAAATAACAGACACACCAAAAAATCTGTATAATGTACAGGGTGGAGGGCGGGTCAAATTGGACGCTTTCAAAGGGAAACACCCTTTTCTATAGGAGATAGACGAAAACTAATATCAGTGTCTGGAGCTCAATTTTTATGAAAAACATGATGGTGAAAACCGCATATCGATATCAGTTACCGCCTCGGAGTTTCGGGGTGTTTTCTTTAATATGCATTTTTAAAAAATCGTTGTAACTTTTTTGCTATGGAAAATTTTGTATTTTTATGAAAACATTTCCAAAGTACCTTTTTGTGTAAAATTTAATAGTTTAAGTATAATTTTTTTAAAATTAAAAATTTAAGAATTATCAACAAAAAATTTGATTTTTTATATGGGATACTCTGTATATTTTTAATTCATTGAAAATAATTTAAAATTACCTTTCCAAAAATATAGCATACTTGATATTATCCTCAATTCCTCTTCGAGATATAGAGTAGATAAAAATTCGCCCACTTTGAATAAGTAGGTAGGCTTTGAACGGCGCCGGTTGTAATGCAAAAAAAAATCAATTCATTGCAAATTCAAATTCATTGCAAGTAATATTTGCAATGAGAGATGCAGAATTTTATAACAATTTAAACTATATTTAGCAACATCAACATATTTAAACTATATCTAATAACAATAAATAGCAAACCAAGACATGAGATTTTACTACAGGTGTTCGACATATCGACTGTCGTCTGTTATGGACAGAGGGGACCGTTGACCGTTGAACATTTCTCGCGGATTTCATTAACTCAGTGGGGGTGAAAGATACCTTCGCATAACCGCTAAGTACTTCTAATTCTTATCTAGATTATACGGGCAATTTAAAAATAAGAACCTTTATTCTTCCGCAAAGATGAAAATCCATAGGCATTAAGTCCGGCGCGGCCAACGGCTGGGATCTTGGTTAGTTATTCAATTTTCAGTCTCGAAATTGGCTGCAAAAATTTGCTGATAACTTCAAAGTTCTGAGTCTTGCTGGAAAAATATGTTTTCGAGGTCCACTAGGGGCAGATCATCAATAAGGGATCAGAGATCCAAAGCCTACTAGTTAAAAGTGGCGAACTTTTAAAAATTCTGTATTTCGAAGGGGACTATAACAAAATATCAAGTGTGCTATATTTTTGGAAAGGTAATTTTAAGTTATTTTCAGTGAATTAAAAATGTATAGGGTGTCCAAAAAAATATGCTTAAACTATTAAATTTTACGTAAAAAGGTGCTTTGGAAATGTTTTCATAAAAATACAAAATTATCCACAGCAATGAAGTTACAGCGATTTCTTAAAATTGTACATTTTTGAAAATCACTCCGTAACTCCGAAACGGTATCAGATATCGATGTGCCGTTTTCACCATCATGTTTTTGATAAAAATTGAGCGAAGATACCGTTATTAGTTTTTGTCTATCTTCTATAGAAAAGGGTGTTTCCCTTTAAAAGCAACAAATAAACAGGTCCAATGCTAGTCTTAGCCTTGGTATTGCATTTTGAGCAAGACGAAGACAAAGTTAATTTTCGTGTGTTTTATCGTTTATTAGTAGAGATACAAAGATGCGGTTTTCACATTACTACGCTAAAAATCAAAAGTTGTAGTCAGTAACTGAAAACAATTAGCTATAAGTTATAGGGGTGAGCCACTTTTGAGACGCACCCGGTATATACATATAGTTTGTCTATATTTGCGTGAACCGTTTTTTTTTAATTATTGTGGTTTAATCAGTGTAAGTATTTAAAAATTTCTTTCAATAAAATTCCATTTTTGTCACTGTTTGTACAGGGTGTCCCAAATTCGAAGCTTGACATTGTCATCATCAGTTAAATTGAGGCAAAGTTGCGTAATTTGATGCTGATCCAAATGCCACATTAAAAGTTTAAAAATACCGAATACTTCCGAAGATTTTTGGAGAGAACCGAATATTCGCGATTTCATTTTTATTTTTTTGTAACCCTACTTGAATAGATATAACAAAATATCTTTGAAATTCTCATTGATACATTTTTAGTTCTACGAGATGGTACTATTAGATTTTCATACCGACGTTTCGCCTTTCAGCTGCCATCATCAACTTTCTTTTTTAATTTAAAGAAGGCGTCCATTTTTCTCAAAAAGACTGATAAACACTGATAAATAATGGCACTGATAAAAGATTAAAATTAGCATTCATAATGTTTTGTGTAGAAATTTAAAATTGCTGTAAATTTAAAAATATAGAAATATGTAGAATGTGTAGAACGTAGGAGGTGGCACCACTGTAAGGTTTAGATACACCCGAGGATATACCGTAGAGAAATCTCAAGTGAATAAACAAGTGGCACTAAAAAGTTTTTTAAAATTTCCCGGAAAATATATAAAAAAATAAAAATTTTCAGCAATTTTTTTTTGAGAAAAAAACCCTCATAGGCTTGTTTCTAGGGTCAAAATATACTGCCAGTTAAAATGTCTGCACTTATTTCTGAGACACCCTGTATAATTTCCGAGATCCCAAAGATAAGGCTCGAATTTGGGACACGTACACAAAATTATATTTTAAAAACTTTTTAATTTGTGTTAAAAAAGTCAGTTCGAAAATAAAAACATTATACCTATATAGATATTTTTTTAATTAAAATTTAGAACATTTCTCAACTTATCATTCACTTTAATAGGCACAAATGTGAAAAGGCCCTATGTTTATTGTTAAAACATAAATTTTCAGTCCATTATGATTCCCGCTTCCCCTATTTATTTTCCTAAATTACCCAAATCGAAAGAAAACCTAACCTATAATCGCTCAGAAACAAAACAACGCGTCAGACTCAAACACGATAAACAAAACACAGAGATCGGTCGATAGAAAAACGGACTTAATGTTATGAACAACAATATTAATAATATTAATCTTGACTTACAGTTTAGGGAGGCGATAACGGCAAAATCTTGCGTGTCAGCCGAATAACAAAAGAGAAGGAAGGAACACTCCCCGAACGTAAAATGCGATAAAACACACCGAAATGAGTAATCAGAGTAATTTTTACAGTGTGCATCCGCCGTCGATGTAACTGCACGTTGTATGTGCGACGGAGAGAGGCAGTAGAGAAGCGAGAATGAAAACCTCTGTGGACGTTTACGGGGGGTACCGTGCACGGCGGGAGGGGGGTTAGCAAAGCAATCGGACTGACACCAAGCCTAGGTCCGGCCATCTTGTAACGACGAGGCGCTGTTGTCCGCAAAAACACCCCCAAAATCCAAGAATTCGCGTAAATAATTGGTGCGAAACGCGGCACATCGCTTCTAGTGTGTGTTACAAGTGCGTACAATCATTAAACACACGTGTACGTACCTTAAAACCGCGTTAAATTAAGATTCCACGAAGATTCTAATTGTTTTGTGTTACATTTTTGTGAGTGTGGTATATAGTTGTCTCCCAGGCACATCGATGAATATTTCGTATTCGGATAAAAGCTCAGCGTATTCTCTCAAGTAAGTATTTTTATTATTAGCGATTACCGATTGATTTCGGTGTTTTCTTCTGTCTCGTTAAAGGTTTTGCGGTTCCTTTGTAGTTTCGTAGTCGTATCGTATTTTTGGCAATGATCGAGGATTCGATGATGCCTATAATCATTTACTAACCTCCAAATTTACCGTTTCGGGCTATTATTTTCCGTTTTTGTTTTCATTCAATGTTTTTCATAAACAAATGCCTCGGTTTTATAGTAAACTTTCCGTCATTCATGTTTAAACTTTTTACTACAAAGTTTAATATCTGTACATACTATAGGTATTCATGAATCGTTCGATTTCTTGTGGATAAGAGCTTCCTTTGTCATAGTCAGAAAATGTTCCATTTACCTACATTTAATCTTTGATAAATTATTGTAAGGGCATAGGCCATTCATAGGTACATAATAATTTCAGTATCAATCACCCCTTATACAACCACACTTTATGACTGAAATAATTTTTAATTTTGTACATAGTGCAAATAACTTAATTACAATACACAAAAACACGTTAATAGACAATATAATTTGGGGAGTACAAAGGCGGTATTTTTTATTGTCGAAATTTTATCACATGGGAACTAATTCATTATCTCTATTTTTGAATAAAGAATAATTAATTGAATATTTCGAAGCTCGAAGTAGCTACGTGGCTGTAGAAAATACTTTCTTAAAAACATCTTATTTGTTGCATGGAATATCAGAAACAGAAATACTAAGATACTTTATAAGTACGTATTATCCTCGGTATTATCTATTAAAATGTTTGGTAAGCAAGCCGCTGTGTGTTTTATATAAAACTAGATAAAATTTTATTGTCATCCAAGTAGTTCTGAAAAGCCTTGTTAATTCGAGGCAGAAGTAGGGAAGGTAAGGTAGGTAGGTAAAATGGCTTCTCTAAAGCGTATCCTTATTAAAGTACCATCAAAACCGTAAGTAATGAGTTCAGGCATTGACCTCTGCGCTGCTGTACACCGTACAAAATTACAGTACTTAAAATACTACTTTTAGCATGGCATTGTTATTGGTATTAGAGCGTCGTCGTATCAGTTTATATCGATCTGACTGGGCTGTTTGTATTCTATTACAACCGTGTTCTAATGTCGGTCTTTTAAGAAATTTGGACCGGTTGCGCGCTACGCATATGGCAGTTTTCTTTATATTTATTCCTGTAACTGTGATCTAAAATTAAGTGCATTGCTAGAAAATTGAGTCACCGTGATAAAAAATCATGTTTTAATTCGTTTTTGTAGGTTTATATGTTTTGTTTATTTAACATTATTAATTTTATTTTGTTAAAGGGCGATTCCACAAACAATACATTTTTTTGTTAATTTTAAAATGAGACATTTTTTAAAATATTTGTACTTTTATTTGTAGTATAATGCCTATAGTACATAACAAAACTAGAATAACTTAACTTTCTAATCTAGTGCTCCTTGAAAATAGTCAGAACAAAATAGTTTTGGTTTTCACAGTGAAATTCCAAAAAATCGCTTTGTTTTATCAAGGTGGCTATGGATAAGAAAGCTGAGCAATGCGCTAACGCTGTCAGTTTTCTTTGCGCTTCTGTTTGAGTGATAGAATTATTGTGTTGTTACTCTTTCCAAGTAAGTATATTTTGTGATAAAATATTATAAGTATATCTAAATTTTATGTCCCGTTAGTAAACAAAATATACAATGAATTGATATATAGCGATACTTCAAGCCAAGAGGTTTTTACATAAGATAAAAAATATAAGTTTTGTGTGAACAAATTCTAATGTTTTAACTGTTTCTTTTTTAAAAGTTCTAGCTTTGTAGTTTTTTAAAATTAATTGTTGTCCCGTTAGTAAACAAAAATTATATTTTAGGACAGGAAAAATAGTTTCTAACGCAAACAAAAAATCAAAGCCTGTGTTTCGAATTACAGAAAAAAGATTTATGAAAATGAAAATTTAAAACAAAATTATTTGAAAAATTATGCTAAAAATCAGATAAAATACAGGAAAAACTAAAAGATTTGGCCAAAAATAATATCGCATTGAAAGTGGAACTGAACATTAATGAAAAGCATATTGCCCTATAAAACGGCCCAACGCCTTGGAAAAGCTGTAAGAGCGACAAATAAATCACTTCCTTTAGATAAAAATAAGAAAGTGGCCGTTTTAAGAAAAATTCTGGAAAAAATTGAAGCAAGTTTAAAAATACAAAATATTAGCAAGTTTACCAGTCCGTCAATTGATAACAAACGCAAATTATCACAGGAGAATTGAAAAAATTTAAAATTTTTATTTACGAGAGGATATCAGCAGGGTGTCTCCTGGAATGAAAGACCGGGTGAAAATAAAAAGAGGCGATCATGTCGAATACGTTCCAAAAAGATACATACATGTATCTTACTATAAAAGAAGCCCTCCAGATTTTTACAGAAGAGAATCCAAATACTAAAATAAAACTAAGTTAATTTTATGAGCCCAGACCATCATGCATCCTGCTTAGCAGCGCAATGCCACATAATGTGTGTGTGTGCAAATATCATGCAAACGTTTTTTACATTTTGGAAGTTCTTCAGAAAAACATCACAACTTTTCCTAAAGACCACAAAAGTTTGATTTCTGAAATATCCTGCAATTGTACACAGGGATTTTGCATGCTGAACGAATGCAGTAAATGTAAGGAAATTGATTTAACCTTTTCCTGTTAGTTGATAGCAAGCTCACATTATTTCAAATCCGTTGATTAGCACCATATATTGATTAAAAAATACCGAGATCAGAAAAAAATACAATTTTCAAGTGCTTTTAGGTTAAGGATTAGGCTTTGACAGTTTTTCCTATATGTTGATATTATTTGGTTGCATTAAATTAGGTAATTTTTGAATTTATTGTTTTAAAAATAATAATATATCCTGTTGGAAAAAACTGTCCCGTTAGTAATGTCCCGTTAGTAAACATAAATTACCACCAAGAACCTATACACCTGATAAGTAAATGAGAGTAATATGCTTAACTATTTTTTAGATGGGACCTTTACCATCCTATATTTTTACATTTTGTGTCAGGCGTTCAAATTCACAGGTCTGCTCTCTGAATTATTTGAAAAAATGTCTGAAGTTTTTTCTGTCCCGTTAGTAAACACATGTTTTTGTAATATTTCCGCCAATCTAATAAATATTCAAGTAATATCTTTTTGGCAAATTATTACTTAAAATCATTGCTAACAAATATTACAAGGTCATTGTTATATGAACGATATAAGATATAAATATTTTTCGAAAACATTCTATTTTTCGTTCAGTTTGTCCCGTTAGTAATCATGGAATCGCCCTAAACTGTTTTTTTATAATGACCATAGTTCAAAATATAGACATGCTTTTCCCTGATTTGTTATATTGTAATTTTAGTACCTCCATAAGTTAATAAAAACAGATATACCTAATGTTAATTAGAAGTAGAAGCCTTAAAATATTACTGTGATTGAAAAATTGTTTGGATGTTATTTAAAATTAAAGTTATTTGCGCTAAAAATCTCAAATTTGTTAATATGTAGATACCTCTGTTGTATTTTTTTAAGAAATAAGTATATTTATAGAATCAAATGCTAGAAGTTCTATCGGGAAACATGATCTACTATAAAAGTACATCTATGGGAAGGATAGGCGGCATAGGATTTCTTATCAGAAATTCAGAAAGGAATAGAAAGACAAAGTAGTGAACATAACAGATATCTTCAATGACAATCAGGACATCTAATAGATAGAGCGGCAAGCCTAACACTCCAACTGTCAGGGAAATATTGCTTGCAAATGATACAAACATACGCTCCAACAACTAGTCACTCGGACTAAGAATTAGAATAATTCTATAATGAAACCAACCAAGCATTGGACGGCAACAATAGTCATTTTAAATATCTAATAGGGGACTTCAATGCAAAGGTGGGGAAACAAAAAAGAACAAGAACAACAAATGGGAAACTTTGGAATTGGGGAAAGAAATGAGAAAGGACAGAGACTTGTACAATACGCATATCATCAGAATCTTTAGGAAGAACACAAATTGAAAACGGACATGGCAAGCTCCTAATGGGGTAACTAGGAATGCAATTTGTTTCATTTGAACCAACAAATTGAACACAGTAAAAGTTGAAAACTCGTTAGAACCAGAATAGTTCTTGATATTCGACTAGAAAGAATAAAATTAATCAGGAAACCAATAGCAACCACAGTAAACACTAACAGACTAAAAGAAAAATAATATGAATATGAACAGCTACTGGATAGCAGGCTGACTGAAGAAGAAACAAACACACAACATACAACAGCTTCATGGACACTGAACTAAACTGTGCTAAAGAAATAGGAGGCCCACAGCCGCGTAACAAAAATAATAAACTGACTGATGAGACCAAAGCATTTCTCAAGAAAGGAAGAGAAATGAAAACCGAGAGCAGGATACATAAAATAAAATACACAGAATTATGTAAGACAATAAGAAAGAGAATTGCAGAAGCCATCAAAAACTACCATGAGAAACTTATACAAACTGCAATCAAACACAGAACAAGGTATGAGAATGCTAAGAAATCCCTCATAATTGGAAAGAACAATAGTAACAACATCAGAAACAGACAAAAACGAAATAATAAGCCTGGTAACAAAATTCTACAGCGACCTATAAACAACCAAGTTATTAAAAAGAAGTTATTAAAACAAACCAAACCCCAAAAAACACATGAAGAAGAAAGACTACCTCTACTACAAGACGACGCTCCAGAAGTTCTCGTGGGAGAAGTAGAAATGGCGCTTCAAAATATGAAAAATGGAAAAGCAGCAGGGAACGACGGAATAACAGCTGAAATACTTAAGTATGCAGGTACGAGAACTTCCTAGCAAATATATACACCAGCTGCCTAAGGAGAAAACATATACTGCAAGACTTGAATAGCGCCAACATAATTCTAATTCATAAGAAAGGCAGCAAAGAAGGCATCAGAA